ATGGAGATGAAGATTTCATTTTTCAGCACGACCTGGCACCTGCTCACTGTGCCAAAACCACTGGTAAATGTGGGGAGTGGTGGCGCAGAGGTTAGAGAGGTGGGCTTGTGATCCGAAGATCGCCGGTTCACGTCCCGGCCCCGACAACATCAAAAAAATTGTGGGTGGGGTAGGTGAAACACCCACACTTGCCCCCACCCTCATTCGCCCCACTCTGGGCCCATGAGCAAGGTCCTTAACCCCACCATGTGCTCCCTAAACAGGTCTCTCTTGAAAATGAGTTCTCGTGGCTCAATGAGACTAACCTGGATAAATAAAGGCTAAATGAAAAAAAAAAAAAAAAAAAAATGGTTTACTGACCATGGCATTACTGTGCTCAATTGGCCTGCCAACTCTCCTGACCTGAATCCCCATAGAGAACCTGTGGGATATTGTGAAGAGAAAGTTGAGAGACGCAAGACCTAACTCTCTGGATGAGCTTAAGGCCGCTATCGAAGCATCCTGGGCCTCCATAACACCTCAGCAGTGCCACAGGCTGACTGCCTCCATGCCACGCCGCACTGAAGCAGTCATTCATGCAAAAGGATTCTCGACCAAGTATTGAGTGCATAACTGAACATGATTATTTGAAGGTTGGCGTTTTTGTATTAAAAACACTCGTCTTTCATTGGTGGGATGAAATATGCTAATTTTTTGGGACAGGCATTTTGGGTTTTCATGAGCTGTATGCCATAATCATCAGTATTAAAACAATTAAAGACCTGAAATATTTCAGTTGGTGTGCAATGAATCTGAAATATATAAAAGTTTAATTTTTATCATTACATTATGGAAAATAATGACCTTTATCACAATATGCTAATTTTTTGAGAAGGACCTGTATGTGTGGCTGATCCAGTGTGGAAGGAGGGGGGGGGGGGCATTTTTGTCTGTTCTTTTTCTTTTCGTCTCTTTTTTTTTGTGCGTCTTCAAAAAACGTACTCAATAAAAAGACTTTGTTTAACCTCCTAAGACCTGAACTCATGCATACAGTATGTGGATGCCAGATCCTAGAAGGTTAAAAAAAAAAAATAATAATAAGAATATGGAAATAAATAATTCTTAGCAAACATGAAAAATATACTGCACTGGTAAACTGCAACCCACTCACAGGCCGGAATTTTCCATTCCGCACAAGAAGCTGAAGTTAGACGTCAGTAGAATAAACTGTGTGTGTGCTGTGCGACATCATTAGAACTATGATTGAAATGGATTCCATTCAAGTTCACAATAAAATCATCTTGAGGAACTGCACAAAAACATACATACAATAAAATTATCCAATTTGTAAATGTTTCCTAAGGAAGCCAGCAGATCACTTTGAATCGTCACTTCATCACAAACTACCATCCTGAGCAGCATGTTGGTGAAAGTGGAAAAAATTACTCCTTTTGAACAGGAAGAAACCTCCAGCAAAACCAGAGCTAAGCTGGGTGTCCATCTGCTTTGGCCGGATGGTGTTTGTTTCTATTTTCCATATAAAATATGAATTCTTCAGATATAGAAATCAGTTAATTCTGCTTTTACTGTTTGAAATTGGGTGTCTGCTTTGATGTTGTTCTCAGATTTACAGACAAAAAAAAAAAAAAAAAAAAAGAGTATGTGTAAGTGATATGTGCTGCCTGCCTGTGTGCTCCGGTCCATCTCTGATGACGAAGAAGTCAATGATTCTGGAGGTGAAGTCCAAGGCCACGTGGGTTTTGCTGTGGATCACGGTGATACAGTGCCTGTCCCCATAGCTGGCCCTAGGCATGCCACCGCTGAACAGCAGGAATGGAGGCCTGTACAAACACTCAGTTCAGTCCAGTTTACCCTCGGGCTAATGAGTAATGACATGTGAGAATACATCTCATGAAAACAAGGTGAATCATTAAAAAAACAAATGAACAAAGAAAACATACCCTTCTGCAGTGGGGAGCTGAACAATTTTTGTAATAGCCTTGCAGGGGAAATGTCCTGTGGTGAGAAAAGTACAATTATTAGAAATATGACCTATAAATCAGTAACATTAGATTTAAAGAGCATTCCCCTCTTACCATAAGGAATGTCTGATTTTTCCTCCTCCTCATCATCATCGTCCCAACCCCCCACCCTCCACCTACAGTAGCTGCCATCACTGTGAGAGCTCAAGATGTAGCTTCCATCTTCAGTCCACCACATGCTCTCCAGTTGCTTTGGTAGCAACAGAACACAAAGAAAACAATGTCAGAATGTTGGGTGGAAGTTACTGTGGACAGGATCCAGTCTGACAGGTACCTGCGTAGCAGGAATGTGCTGGATGAAACACTGCTTGTCCAAGTCCCAGATGACCATGAGACCTCGACCAAATCCTATAACAACCTGACTGGGGTTGGTGGGGTTCTCATGGAGAGCCTCCACATGTTCCAAATTCCTTCGACCAATGTAGTCACCAGGTACGCTGGAGTTAGAACAAAGAAATAAGGTAAAGATGATAAAAGAAGGTGCAGGACAAAATAATCTGCAGAGAATTGGTGAAATGTGTTGAGAGCCACAACAATCCTCATTTACAATGATTTTAAGAACTTCAGTTAGGGATGTAACAAGATATTATGAGTATAAAACGTTGCAAAATTTCTTATCAAGCACAAAATTCTCTTGCAAAGCATTATCTAGTTCAGACCTGGGCATTGTATGGCCCCAGGGCCACATGTGGCCCTTTGGTTGACTCTGACCGGCCCCCGTAAGGGGAATTACAAAATACATATGTAAACAAATGAAGTTAACCAAATCCAGATATAGATCCTCTCTCACTGATGATGTCAGCTTTGCTTCACATCTCCACCTCAGACCTTCAACCTGACTTTAACATTTCCATTAAAGCCCAACAGAGACTAAACTTCTCTCACTAAACAAGAAAAAAGAACTGAAAAACACCAAATGAGATGTTTAGACTACAAATGTAGGCACGTAAAGAACCGGGACTCAAAATCACAGTTCAGTGACGATCACTATTATATGATGTTTCATAATATTTGGAGTACAAAGACAATATTGTGATATATTTACAAAGCTAAGAACTTTTTCCAGCAGTATATAAAACTCGAAATGAGTTTTGGGGTGAATGTGACTGAAAATGATCATTAATATAACGTCACAAATGGTAAAAATGTTAACAGTTTAACATTGTACTGGGAAATTTAATTGAATAAATGACATGTTTTGTAAGGAAACCTCGCTTTTTCGTTGCTTAATCATAACAAATACTCTTACCAGCTTGTTAAAACAGTGCTATGTACTGCTTTTAATAATGAAATACTATTATTATGCAGTATTGAGTTAAGTTGAAATCAGGTCTCTCTTGTAAATGAGTCCTCGAGGCTCAATGGGATTTACCTGTAGAAATAAAGAAATAAATGCAATAGAAATAAAGGTTGAATGAAAAAGTCATTTGTGCCAGCCCTCCACAATATTTGCCGTTTCTCATGTGGCCCCATGGAAAAAACAAATGCCTACCCCTGATCTAGTTGCTTCACCCGCACCTTTGTAGCTACAGTGCACCTGGAAAGTATTGACAGTGCTTCACTTTTTTCACATTTTATGTTTCAGCCTTATTCAAATTGTATTAAATTAGTTTCTTTCCTCAAAATTCCACATACATTAATTATCTCATTATGACATTGTGAACCAAGTTTGAGATTTTTGTAAAATTGTTAAAAACAGAAAACTATAAAAACACATTTATATAAGTATTCAGTCTTTGCTTAATACTTTGTTGATCCACATTTGGCAGCAATCACAGCCTCCAGTCTTTTTGAATATGATGCCACAAGCTGAGCACACCCATCTTTAGTTTGTCCCATTCTTCTTAGAGGTACTTCTCAAGCTCCATCAGGTTGGATAGGAGACGTCTGTACAGCCATTTTCAGATATTTCCAGAGACGTTCAATCAGATTCAAGTCTGGACTCTGACTTCAGAGTCAGAAGTGATTCTTTATTGTCGTTTATTGTCTTTATCGTCATAATTTTGTTCGCACCACATGTACCACATGTGGTGCGAACAAAATTATGTGCACAGGGTCCCAGTTACATCCAACAATAAAATGCAAAAGAAAAATGATAACATCTAAGATATGAACTAAAAAAAACAAACTAAAATACAATAAGCACTAAAAGCATTACATCGAACAGCAGCACGAACATGAGTCTGAGTCTGACTTGGCCCCTCCAGGACATCTACGGTCACTCCTATGAGATCTTGGCCATGTGCTTTGGGTCAATGTCCTGCTGAAAAATGAAGCGTTGCCCCAGTCTGAGGTCAAGAGTGCTCTGGAGCACGTTTTCATCCAGAATGTCTCTGTACATTGTAGCATTCATCTTTTCCTCTATCCTGACTGGTCTGCCAGTTCCTGCTGCTGAAAAACATCCCCACAGCATGATGCTGCCACCACCATGCTTCACTGTAGGGATGGTATTGGCCTGGTGATGAGCTGGTTTCCTCCAAACACGACACCTGGCGTTAAGACCAAAGTTCAATCTTTGTTTCATCAGACCAGAGAATTTTGTTTCGCTTGGTCTGAGAGTCATTCAGGTGTCTTTTGTCAAACTCCAGACAGGCTGCCATGTTGCCTTTTATTAAAAAGTGGCTTTCTTCTGACCACTCTACCAGACAGGCCTGATTGGTGGATTGCTGCAGAGATGTTTGTCCTTCTGGAAGGTTCTCCTCTCTCCAAAAAGGAACGCTGGAGCTCTGACAGAGTGACCATTGGGTTCTTGGTCACCTTCCTGACTAAGGCCCTTCTCCCCCGATTACCAAGTTTAGATGGACGGTCAGCTCAAGGAAGAATCCTGGTGGTTCCAAACTTCTTCCATCTATGAATGATAGAGGCCACTGAGCTCATTGGGACCTTCAAAGCAGCAGAAATGTTTCTGTATCCTTCCCCAGACTTGTGCCTCAACACCTTCCTGTCTTGGAGATCTACAGACCATTCCTTTGACTTCATGCTTGTTGCACTCTGGCATGCAATGCACAGGTGTGTGCCTTTCCAAATCAAGTCCAATCAACTCAAGTCCAATCAACTGAATTTACTACAGGAGGACTCCATTTAACTTGTAGAAACATCTTAAGGATGTCTGCATTTGAGCTTAATTTTGAGCTTCATTGCAAAGACTGAATACTTAAGTAAATGTGATTTCTTAGTTTTCTATTTGTAATAAATTTGCCAAAATCTCAAAAAAATATTTTTTCACATCGTCAACGAGGTATTATAGGTCCTTCTCAAAAAATTAGCCTATTGTGATAAAGATCATTATTTTCCATAATGCAATGATAAAAATGAAACTTTCATATATTTCAGATTCATTGCACACAAACTGAAATATTTCAGGTCTTTAATTGTTTTAATACTGATGATTATGGCATACAGCTCATGAAAACCCAAAATGCCTGTCCCAAAAAATTAGCATATTTCATCCCACCAATGAAAGACAAGTGTTTTTAATACAAAAAACGCCAACCTTCAAATAATCATGTTCAGTTATGCACTCAATACTTGGTCGAGAATCCTTTTGCATGAATGACTGCTTCAATGCGGCGTGGCATGGAGGCAATCAGCCTGTGGCACTGCTGAGGTGTTATGGAGGCCCAGGATGCTTCGATAGCGGCCTTAAGCTCATCCAGAGTGTTGGGTCTTGCGTCTCTCAACTTTCTCTTCACAATATCCCACAGGTTCTCAATGGGGTTCAGGTCAGGAGAGTTGGCAGACCAATTGAGCACAGTAATACCATGGTCAGTAAACCATTTACCAGTGGTTTTGGCACTGTGAGCAGGTGCCAGGTCGTGCTGAAAAATGAAATCTTCAT